TTTTTTTTTTTTTTTTTGTTCTTCCTTTTGTTGAGCTTTTGCTCTCTTTGAACTTCGCTCCTCTTTTAACATTTCTCTTCACGGCTTTTAGCAATATGATCTTGCCTCCTAGTTAGGCACATAACTATATTCCTTAGTTTTGGGATAAGTATGAAAGAAAAGGCTCACTTTTCTTTTTAGGCTCAACTTGGTTAACAAAAGGATGACACTTTTGGATAAAGTGTTGGGGAATTAGGCTCATGAAAGATGGCCTTTGAGCTTTTCACTTTAGACCTTAAAATGATGACAATTGTTCAACTTAAGTTAACAAGATTTCCTTATTCCCTCTTTTTTTTTTTTCTCCTTTTTTTTTTCAAATCTTTTCTCACCATTTTCTTCTTGTATGAGTCTATCACATTTGACTGCAACTTTAGCCTCTATTTTGCAACACATCAATTAGTTCAAGAGAAGAATCTAGATCACCATCATCTTCCTCGACATGGATTTGGATAATTTGAAACATATACCAATTCTGAAATGGCATCATCGTATTCAGATTCATCATTAGCAAAGCCTGAAAGCAAAAAGAAACATGAATAAGTAATAGCATACAATGAGAGCATATATATGCAAGTAAGACTTTTTTTTTATTGTTTTTTTAAGCATATTAATGGCATCAAGAAGAGTTGCATCAAGTTTAAAAAATGACAATATGGCAACATATGTTACTGAATTGTAAAGACTGGGAAAACTAATTAGCATGATAGCAAATATTTTAAAGAATATAAAAGAGCTTGTTATTCCCTCCTTTCATGTAGTTACAAGTTGAGGTACTAGAAAGCTGACTTATTTCACTCATGGATAAATGAAGCAGAGAAAAGCTTGACTGTCTAATTGGCCAAAGTGTCCCCAAGGCAGAAGTAATGGTCATGTCAAATAAGGGTTCATCCCTAGGAGCAACAATACTCAAATTTCCCCATATCCTAGATTTGCCCCCTCATTCATTGAATCTAGATCCACATGTCCTGTGTGTAAGTCCACTTCAACATCATATTTTGGTGAGCTTATAGAAACATGTTGAGGTCACCTTCTAGATGGATGATGCATTGCTCCAAAGAGAAAGAAAACATAGGGAGACTATCATGCCTTTTTTTTTTTTTTTTT